GGCCTTCCCCGGGACCCCAACCCCCTACGAGTATGCCAACACCAACGAACGGCATGAGGCAGGGTGGAGGCATCTCACTAGACTTCCATCAGCAATCGCCGCCACCGGATCCGCAGCACGGTAGACCACCTCCAAGGACACTCGAACAGCAGAGCATATTGGAGCACATTCTGGCTCCACGTGCCGGTCCACCGGATTCTCGACCTTCACAGCAATCGCGCTTCAACAGCATGTCACCAGAGAATGCGCTTTCTGAACAATTCAGACCCCCACGCCCTGACTCTGGTCATCCAGAAGATCACTATTCTCACCAGCCCCCGCCGCAACGTAACGCCCCGCATGATGCAAACCTCGCAGCTTTGTTGAACAGTCGTCAGCGCGAGGATACGCAACGCGATCAAGTCACGAAGCAGCGTGAGCGTGACTTCCTATTGAATCTGATGCAACAACCTTCTCGCGCTACACCACCGCAGGTACAGGGTCACAACTTGCCTCGCCCATCTCAGGAAGGTCACAACATGCCCTTCTTCGAGCAATCAAGACAGCAGCCTCAGCACCCTGCTCAACACCAGGCCAAGGGTCGTGGCGGTCTGCCCCCAGGTTTCATGGAAGACCCTCGTATGTTCACAGAGAACGAGATGCTGCGTCGTGAGGCTGCCGATCGCCAATTGGAGCTTCAGCATATGCAAAGACTACAACAACAGCAACAGCAACAACAGGAGTCCATGCGAGCCAAGAACCAGCGCATGCCAATGGGATATCCCACCCCGGAAGATCCACTCATGGGCCTCCAGCGCCGCAACACAGGAGGTGACCCGCGCATGCCAACCAATATGGGTATACCTTCGCAGCCTGTACCGGATATGCCATACATGGGCGGACGAGGTCAACCAGGAATGCCGCCAACACCGCAAGAGCGGCCGAACATTGCTCCACCACCAGGATTCGGCGGTCCAATGCGCCAGCCACCTGGCCTCAATGGTCCCAACCCTCAGCAAATGGGACCTGGAGGACCGAGCTTCTCAGCTGGCAATACACCGCTTGGTCATCCTCCCGGCTTCCCGCCCGGTGGCAGTATCCGCGGATTAGGCTTTCCAGGCGGACCGGGAGGACCCGGTGGTAATGGCATGCAGGGCCCACCTGGCTACTTCCCACCTCCTGGCTATGGCGGCCCCCCAATGCCCGGTATGCGAGGTGGTGAAGATCCACGCATGATGTTCGATGGCCAATTCGGCGGACCTCCACGCCAGCAGCCTGGTCGTCCTGGGCCACCCAACATGTACTAGCTTCTTGTACAGTCTCGGCTGAAGGGCTCATCTTCGAGCTTGAATGTATTCGGGTTCACAAACCATTAACTTTACATTGATTTCAGCAGAGTGTTATAATGTCAGTTCTTGGCTTCAAGCGTAGCGTCGGCGTCGGGGATGCTGTATATTTGGGTCCGGGCCTTCCCTTTTCTACAGCGATATCTCCCTGGAAAGGTCAGGATTGGCATGTCGTCAGATTTCAGATGTGATATGTCTGATCTCTGAGGGTTTTATGTACGTACGGTCACTTGGGCACTCTAATGTATAGAGGGGCTACGAGGCACGAGACGATGCCATCGCAGCAAGAACAAAGATGTACTGCGCTACTGCAGCGTAGTTACACGAAGAAAGAAAGAAACAAGAAGAAAAGGCCAGCTCGTAGATCATAGAATGTATCGGGAGTTGGTGCAACTTGATATCTCTGATGATTGTGATACGCATGTGACTGAAAGCTTGGTCTGACGATGTAATGAATCGTGCAAGACGGGTTTGATAGGGTTGAAGTGCTCATCTTCACAGAACAGGTGAACTCCAACTTGACACACGCAGCATATACAGTTGTCAAGGTATAGAAAAAGGTTGAATTACATTGCTCATGTGTATCACTAAATGATGAACGCCAGAAGATAGCCCCCACCTTAACCGCATATGTTCATTGACATCATCCAAGAATGTTACATTACCATGTCGCTCTTCAGCTGACTTATAGTACGAGCATTCCGAGTAAGCTACCCACTGCTAGGACAGCATACGCGCCCATGACTAGATCGCCGTGGGGGAAGAAACCAGGCGCGTTGATGCTGGGGGCAGCACCCTCAGAACTGGAGCTTGCTGCACCACCGCTGCCGCTGCCACCACTCACTGCCGCAGTACCCTTACCCGTAGCCTCAGGTACACTGCCATCGCCCTTGTTGCCTGCAGCACTCAGTAGTGAGGCACAGTTGCCAGCAGTGGTAGCGCTCTGGATGCTAGCTCTGCCCGAGAAGCTGCAAGCATCTGCGCGCTTCTTCTGTCCAATGTAGTATTGGTTTGCGACAAACGCAAGTTGGTCCTTGGGGTCGCAGCCAGAGTAAGCACCGAAGTCACCGGTTGTAGAGTTGCGCGCAATGCCGTTGCAGTAATCTTCGTTCTCGCCGCAGATGAAGTTGAAGTCGTCGGCGTACTTGTCGTCATCGTCGGATTTGTAGACGCACTGTAGGCTGTCCACCATGCAGGCGCATAGCTGGGGGTTGACGTTTGGAGGCAGTGGCGAGGCTTGCGCGAGCCATGATCCACCGACTGAGGGGCAGGCAGGTGCCGAGTTGGTGGGTGTGTATTCAGATCGTTGAGTAATAGTTGGAGTGGCGGAGGCGAGCTGGCTTTGTAGAGATGTGAAGTCGGGGTAGGGCGATACGCTGGCGCCATTGTCAGCGAGCGAAACGAGTCCGTAGTCGTTTTCACCCATAAACCACTCGTAGACGATACCGCCAGAGAAGACGTCAGTCATGTTGCCGTAGAGAACCTCGACCTCGGTGAATGGACGGCTGGTGGGACCGTCATCCAAACCTTCGATGCATCCGTATTCAGCGAAGAAGACAGGGACGGGGTAATCGGAGAAGAAATCGACGCGCTCGCCATAGGAAGAAGAAGCGTAGTTGCTGTCGCCACACCACGAGTAGACGTTGTAGCCCCAGAAATCGATGGAGGTCTTGTTTCCTGAGTCGCCGGGCTGGCACGCGAAGTAGTGCGCAAGCTCATTGCGCGACGGCACATCGGCAGTCGCGTAACCCACACCTAGCGTGTTGCGGTAGTCTTGGTTTTGGATATACGTCTTGGTGTCACGGACAGCAGCCTTGACAAATCCGGCGGCAGCCGTTTGGTTATCGCTGCTGACGTTCTCGTTGCCAGCAAAGAAGCCGATGACATTCTTATATTTGCTCAGCGCGTCGATAACCCCTGTGTATCGCTGGTACAGCGTGACATCCCACTCTGGATTGTTCGATTCGATCGACGTGCCAGGCTCTCCTAGGTCGGAGATGACATAGATGTCTGCGCTGGCCAGCTGCTCCATGCAGTCATCGTGGTTTTGGGTCGGATCGATAGCGTATACGCGAATGACATTGGTGTAGATCTGCTTGAGGTAGGGAATGTCTCGTCGGCAGGCGTCGCCGTCGGCTAATGGATCTGTGTATTTCGTATCGGCGCTTGTCGAGCCATTGGGAGAGTAGTTCTGCTGGTATGCGACACCCTTCAGATAGCTTGGATGCTGTCAGTATCGTGCTCTAGACTGGCAGAATGGGCGTGTACTCACAACTGCGAGCCATTGTTTGTGTAGAAGAAATGTTGGCCATAGACCTCAATGTCTGGTATGTCGTCGTAACTGGCTGCCTTTGCCCCGCTGGTGGCTAGCGCTGCCACGGCAGCAGAAACAATACCCTTCCACATTACCATGCTGATTGTCGATAACGAATGTAGGTAATGAATGTATGGGTATTCGAAGCTTTCTCAGCGCAGTGCTTGGTAGGCAGTGCGCAAAAGCTTGGTTGCGGAGTGAGTGGATAATGGACAAAGAACCGCAGTGTTTCCGGGGCAGCCGGAGAGTTATTGTTTTCCTTGGTTTTAGGGAACCCGGGACGCGTGTCTTACGGGTTACGGCTGGCTGCAGGTACTATACTATTTCTATCACTTGGGTGGCTATGCTGACAAGTCGCCCGGCCCGAGGTGGCGACGTAGGCGCTGATGACGCTGCTGTCGTTGTTTGGTGTGGGGCTGTCGATTGGGCGATCTATCGATTAGTCGAGGGCTAAGCTTTTCGGGAGCGTTTAGTGGGTTTGCCTTCCCCAGTTTTCTTCATTCTTGGTTGGCGTCGCGCTGTGCTGCTCAAAATCGGGCAGACTTTTGACTTGTCCGTTGCTGCGTGCTACGTGCTGCGGGAGTTGAGGAAGCGACACGCGACGCAGGTCCAGAGGTCCGCCATCAACCGAACCGCGCATACCCCGTATCCGTATCTCGCTTGTTACGATGAATGATGCAAGGATGGCTCCTCAGTGCCGAGGTCCGCCAATAGTAAAGAGAAGGAGCAGGCTCTTTGGACAATGTTGTTACTATCGGTGACTTTTACAAGACTGGATGGAATGCCAACTGAGTGGAAAGAAATAGGTATCGTACACACGACCTCCGTGCCATTTGCCAGCGATGATGACTGGGCGTTCGGGAATAATACCCTCACCATGGCAACTAGTCGCGGCCCTGCAGCCCTCACCTCGCCGCTATCGCACTACCATCTCCATGCACAAAAAGAGCCGACGTAATGGTGTACGCAATCTGCGGTCTTTGATTCGTATTCCGCAAAGAGAGAATCAGTTCAGATGCCCCTGTTTCCTCAGAACACCCTCCCAACCACAAAAGCCTCAAACACGGCGTTCTCAAAAGCTTCTCTCTCAACCACACCACCGAAGCCATAACACCGCACCAATGCCACCAACTTCTCTTTCAAGCTGTCCCACCTGTATGCCTCCAGTCCCGCAAATCCCTCTTGTCGCCGGATATAATCCCACGCCTGTACTGGCGTGACTTCGCCGTCTTGGAGCGGAACACAACTAGACAGTGCCAAAAGCTGGTCTATACTAGCCTGTGGAACCTCCCAAGTCGAAGTAGAGAACTGTCGTTGCCCGGGTGGCGAAGGATGATGATGAAAGAGGCATGCTGAGACAGTCAAGGCGTGGCCGGTCGAAGCAGAAGTATCTGCGTCAGAGCTGCCAGTGTTGGGCGAAGCCACATCGATATGTGGTAAACAAGGAGACTCGAGACTATACGTAGGAGTTTAGTGAAGGCGCAGTGAGTAAAGACAACGGGGCGCCCATACGTCAAGACGAAGTCCATCCCAACGATCTCTGGGTCCATGTTACCCATGCATATCGCAGAGCCACCAGGCGAACCCGTAGTGGATGTGTACCCTGATAATGCGGAGCCAGACAACGGCGGACTTATGAGCTGTGCCGAGCCGGCTGCATGACAAGTGTCAGCTACCACGGATTGAGAACACTTGTCGTAGCCCAGCCGTAGTGTACTTACGTAACGATTGCTGAGACACTTGCTGTACGTATATCTGTTTCCGTCGGTTCTTTTTCTTGTTCTCTTCTTGCCCAACGGTTAGAGCGATCCTCTTCTCAATCTCCACGTTCGCTCCCTCTTCCTGTTGAGCAAGTCCTACTCTTGATCTATCGGGTACGGCAATGCCGTTTTGAGTCAGCAGACCTTTCAAGAAAGCGACCTCAGAATACAGCGCCTTGGTTTCTTGCGACAATCGAGCTTCATTTGCGCGGAGCTGGACTACTTCACTTTCGAGAGAAGCCGTGTATGCTTCTTTGCGCTCGCGATGTGTTCTGATTCATGTTCAGTAGAGCACCTGACGTATAAACACGGAAGCGCAACGTACTTCTGCGCTCGTCGAACCTGTTCTCGCCGCCTTTGTCCTGGATTACGCGTATCGCCATCGTCTGAATACAGCGAGATGCATGCTTAGCGACCCGTACCTGGAGCTTTATAGGTCCTGATTGGACATACCGTCGGGAGAACTCTTGTCGCCTTTGAAAGGCTTGAAGGTGAACTTCATCACGTGCACAGCCTATGGTGCTCAGGTGTTCAGACGTGGTGTTCTGTCAGCCACCCGATAGGAAGACCGGAAATGGGCCACTGTGCTTATGGTCTCAAAGTGCAGAAGCCCGATAGGTAATCAGTCTCTCGGAAGAAAAGAGCGACCAAGGCGACGAAGTTGCGCGTGCTGCGCAGATGCCAAGTCTAGTGTTCCCATTATGCCGTATCCATCCCAAATGTCGCGCCAATGACAACGGCCCGGTTGACATGTCTGACGGGCGCAGTTGAGACACGGTGTCACAAGTCAGATTGCGCGCCCTGGCCCTGTCCTCAGCTGGGAATTTTAGGCTAGCCGTCTCTAGTAATTGCTTCAGAATCAAATTTGCTTGTTCAGGCAATAGATCGACGAAGCGCTCGCTTGATACAGGCACCGTTTCGTATTTACCGCATACCCGATATGTGCCATCTCTTCGCGCTGCATTTTCCTTGAAACCAAGCGACGGGTGGTGCGGAGAATCCTTGTGATGTTCAGCCTGAGGCTGTAGGAGTGGCTTGCTCCCCCGGTCGTCCTCTGAAATTATACGCCATTCCAGATTGGGGAATCTTGATCGAATAATCGCAGTCTCTTGGAACGCAATAGTATGAGGCTTTGGCTCAAAGGCAGTTTCTATAAGAGAAGGGTGTGTATTTGACGATGGGGCCTTCAACAGATCAGCTGGACTCTCTATCTTACCTTCTCCATACATTCGCTCTCAAGCTACTCATTTACACTTCGCCATTAATCTCTGTTCTGTTTTGACGCCATATTCTACACCGCCAACATGTTCACAAAATCATTCCTCTTCGCTCTCCTTCCTTCGATGGCGGTAGCAGCACCACACCAACGACCCCGTCCAGGCGCACACCAGGGACAGCAACAAGGTGGCATGAGTTGCATGCAGCAGCAGAGTGCTGGAAAACCTGCTGTCGGCAAAGCCATCTACATGTTGACTAACGATGCCGAGAACGCTGTCGTTGCGCTGCCCATTGGAGCCGATGGTATGCTTTCGCAAGGCAGAGTTATGAAGACGGGTGGTGCGGGTTCTGTTGCTGTTGACGCAGATGGCAAGCCCGCGACGCCAGATGCACTGATTGGCCAGTCGGCATTGACTGTCGTTGGGAACGTAAGTTTTTACACATGCCCGGAAAATATGGACAAGAATGTCGGACTGACGAGTTTCAGAACCTGTTTGCCGTGAACGCTGGCTCCAATACTCTTACCATGATGACTATATCATCCAACGATCCCACATCACTTGCCTGCGCGGGCAAGCCTGTGGCCATACCTGGAGAGTTCCCCAACACCGTCGCGGCATCTGCAAAGAACAAGCTCGCATGCGTTGGAACAACGGGTGCACTCGCTGGAATATCATGCGCACCTTTCTCCGAGCAAGGGCTTGGGCAGATGGACGACCTCCGGCCCTTCGACCTCGGACAGACCACTCCCCCTGTTGGACCCCTAAACACAGTGTCCCAGGCGTTCTTCTCATCTGATGAGTCCGCCCTCTTCACCACCGTCAAGGGCGATCCAGCCGTGAACAACACGGGATTCCTCTCCACCTACGCAGTGCAAGCTTCCAACGGCGCCGCCGCTCTCTCAAAGAAAGACGTTCGCAGCTCACCCGAAGGAACCGCCGTGCTGTTCGGCTCAGCTATCATGCCCAATGACCCATCCTCCCTCTTCGTCACCGACGCTTCCTTTGGCGCGGCCGTCCTGTCGGTTGATTCCCAAGGCCAAGCGACAGTCAAAGGCTCCCAGAAGATCGACGGTCAAGCAGCAACCTGTTGGGCCACAATCTCCGATGCAACAAAGAGCGCATTCGTTACAGACGTCGGCGTCAATCGTATTGTGGAGATGAGTCTAGATGACGCGAGCATCATCATGCAGCTCGATCTGTCTGCTAATGGCGATCCTGGTCTCATTGATCTCCGCGCTGCAGGCGACTTTGTCTATGCCTTGAGTCCTGGCAATGGAACCACCAACGCGGCGATTACAGTGCTCGATGTTTCCGGAGGTCAAGGGTCAATGAAGCAGGTGCAGCATTTCGACCTGGGCGGTATGGCAGGAAAGACCGCTCAAGGTATGGCTGTGATGATGTGAGGGGTCTGCTGGTGTCTTTGTAGTATGTAGTTTCTACTTTTGTTAGTTTTTATATGTATCATACTCGATGTTACGTGCGCGCTGCCACGCTGCCTGTACATCATGAAAGCCAATTATTTGCCATAACACTACTATAGTGTGTCATTGAAGTCTCTTTTAGTGTAACGTCCTGCACTATTTCAATTCGCGCAGGAGCGAGTTCTACAGTATTTCTACATCTTGTACAAGTCGTTCAATCGTAGCGTTCGTGCACTCATCTGAGACCAACCGTGTGTAACCGGCGTATTTGTTTCCTCTTTTCTGGGTTTGAAGCGGGCGGAAAGAAATCACCAGGAGTGGGACGTGGTCGGTGTATCTGTTGCGCGGGTGTGGGCGGGCTGGCAGTCTTGCTAGGCTCGGTGGGCAGCTTGTTGACTGCCTGCGGCGACTCTTGTGTTCGATAATCAAGATCTTCGGCGTCCTCTTCCAGATCTTCGATGTCTTGCTCCAGTTCTCTTAGTGCTTCATCGGCGGTCTTGTCCTTCCTTTGATGTGTCCTTAGCACTCCACCCCACAATGTCTCTAGGTCTGTCTCGGCTCTCTTCTCTTCTGTGAACATCTGCACGACTACGTTGACGCCGGGTTTGATGTCTCTGAAACCGACAAACTGTTTCACATCATCTCCTGGCATGTGTGTGTCATCGGGATGCGCTTCCAATTTCCCCAGTGTGCAACAGATCCAGCCTGTGCGTATGCCGTCGTCGATGTTGCCCTCGGGCGCGGACCCACCCACGTTTGCCAACATCCTCATGCGCTTGGCCTTTCGCCTCAGCTTGATCTTCAGCTCATTGCGCCCCAACAGACCGGCTGCATTTGCCTTCAGCCCGTGCTCGCGTCGAAGGTATCGGCAGAATCGGTCGGCTGCTACGTGGAGATGCTTTTCCGAGCGCGCTGTCGCGATGAGCATGATCAGCTTGGGACCGAGCGCAGGCGGAGGGTCGAGATTTCGCAGGTCGAGCAATTGCAAGTCGTCGAGACCGGCCGTGATGGAGACATATTCGAGAAGGGTCGCTAGGAGAGGTGGCGGGTTCGGTGGGAGGTCTGGGATCTGGGCGGGATTCAATGCGGGCGACGGGACCGATGCTTGTTGTTTGAGATACCACGGGATTGCATTGTCTTGCTGAGAGGGTGGCGTTTTAGCTGGCGAGGCTTCGGTCGCGACTTCTAGCGCAGCTTCTTCCGATGCCTCAGTAGGGTATGTTGTGGTTTCCTCGGATCCAGTATCGTCGACAACAGGCTTGGAACTGTCGTCGAGAAAGGCGAACCCGGGATCGTCCGTTGAAGGGTCGGTCTTGTCTACCCGCCGAAGTGCACTCGTACTGAAGGCGCATCGTGAGACTGTCGAAGGCGCGGTGCGCACAGATGCGCCATTGGGTCGGGGCACTGAGGTGGATTGGCGGACCTGAGTACTCCGACAGGCATTGCAGATGAACCTACAAGAGGCAGCCCTGGGGAAAGACATGGTGTGGATAGAGCAGACACGAATGGTGGCATGGCACTGCGCAGTTCGACTTTCTAGATGACATCGGTGTTTCGTAGCACCGACTGTGGGCCCCTACTAGCGTCCTGTGAACTTGCCCATCACATGTCTGGCCTTGTAGCACCAGCATTGTGATGACAGCACGCTATCGTGTATAAACGATATCCGTCGCATGAGTTATAAATGGCACTACTGTAGAGTGAAAGCTCGCTCATTCTGTGTCTATGACAACATTGATATATTGTCTTCAGCGGTCCGGATAGCGGGATGCATCTGCCAAGAGAGCTAGTGGGGGCGAAAGAGGGCTTGCGGCGAACTTTTGAAAATCATCGGGCACGCGGGGCACCAATTTCAAAGCAGTCACTGCCTGTCCGACTCACACCGACCGCTACTTCTCTCCTTATATATCCTTCCCTTGGTCCTCTGATACCTAGAGTGACGCGCAATATCGAAACCACTCACATCCAAACACCACCGCACACATGGAGGGCGTCATGATGGATGCTCAGCGCTCTTTCGCGCCTGAGCCCAAGAACTCGGCCACGATTCTCTGCGCAGACTGCGGCGCGCCTGTCGACGGCACACTCTCGGGCGCCTTTTGCTACGACTGCATCAAACTCAAGACGGACGTGACGGGCGGCATCCAGCGCGAGGCAATCCTGCTCATGTGCCGCGACTGCGACCGATGGCTCTCCCCGCCCACCACCTGGGTCGTCGCTGCCCCCGAATCGCGCGAACTGCTCGCTCTCTGCCTGAAGAAACTGCGCGGACTGAACAAATTGCGAATCATCGATGCCGGCTTCATCTGGACGGAGCCCCACAGCAGGAGGATCAAGGTCAAGATTACCGTGCAGTCCGAGATCAACGAGGGCGCCATCATGCAGCAGAGCTTCGAGGTCGAATACACACAAAACTACAACCAGTGCCCAGACTGCGCAAAGAGCTACACCCACAACACATGGAGAGCTTGTGTGCAAATCCGCCAGAAGGTGCCACACAAGAGGACCTTCTTGTACTTGGAGCAGTTGATCCTCAAGCACGGAGCCCACAAGGACACGATCAACATCAAGGAAGTTCACGACGGCATCGACTTCTTCTTCTCCCAGCGGAATCATGCCGTAGGCTTCTGCGACTTCCTCAAGGCCGTCATCCCAGTCAACATCAAGCGCTCCGAGGAGCTCATCTCACACGATATCCACACTTCAACCAAAAACTACAAGTTCTCCTTCTCCTGCGAAATCGTACCCATCTGCAAAGACGATCTTGTAGTCCTCCCTATTCCCCTCGCAAAAAAGATCGGCAACATCTCGCCCCTCACACTCTGCACCCGCATCGGCACCTCCATACAACTACTCGACCCTTCGACCCTCCAGACAGCCGATGTCGCCACGGACATCTACTGGCGCACACCTTTCCGACCCCTCGCAGACGTACAGGAACTGACCGAGTTCATTGTCCTGGACATCGAGCCTCTGGGCAAGTCAGTCGGCCGCCACTTTCTCGCCGAAGCCACCGTAGCCCGCTCCTCCGACATGGGCGTCAACGACACAACATACTACTGCCGCACACATCTTGGTGGTATCTTGCACGTCGGCGACTCGGTCATGGGTTACCTCCTCAGCAACACCAACTTCAACAACGATCTCTTCGACGTTCTCGAAAACAACAACAAGTACGCGGCCGCTATTCCAGATGTCATGCTTGTCAAGAAGTACTACCAGCGATCCAAGAAGAACAAGAACAAGCGCAACTGGCGCGTCAAGCGCATCAACAAGGATGAAGGCGAGATGCTGCCCCGTAAGCAAGATCAGGAGAAGATGGAGCGCGACTTCGAGATGTTCTTGCAGGACGTCGAGGAGGACCAAGACCTGCGCGCTACCATGGCGCTATACAAGGCGCAGCAGGAACAGAAGCAGCGCGACGCAGATGCCATGGAGACTGAGAGCAGTCTTGGTGACGATGAGGATGAAGGCCTGCAGATTCCGATGGATCAACTGCTGGATGATTTCGAGGAAATGAAGATGCACGACTGAAGTTAAAAATGACGAGATCAATGTCGCATGAGTTATGGCGTTGTGGCTTGCTGCATCTACGGGCGTTTGGCGGGTAAAAGGGACGGGAAGTACCAGGTTTATAGAATTGTCGATTTCATCCAATGTCGACTGGGCATCTTGTCCTTCAATCTCAAAATACTTTCATTCACCTCGCCATTTCGTTCGTCGCTGTGGCTGTAGAGGTTGTGACAATTCCACTGCTGCAGGTGAAAGCAGGAATTGACATCGTTCGCTATCATGATTCTCGTGGCCTCAGCGCGGCGACGTAGGTGCCGTATCGCTAGCTCAGTGCGGCTGGTAGTGATGGCGACAGTTTCACCAGCTTGCTTCAAGCCTCTCTGAAGGTTCATTTTCAGGCCTCACACAGCTCAACAGTTTACACAAGATCGGCACGGATAGGCCCGGTTCTGAACTTTGATCAAGGCTTGATGGTTCCCCTTGCCCACGCCCAGCACCTTCCGCGGGGATATCCTTGATCACGTCAACGGAAGTGTGCTGCCTACTGCTGATGTTGCAGGCGATCCGGATCTGCAATTGAAGGTTGCGCCATGTGTCATGCGCTACTCAGGACAGCGAAAGAGTTGGCGTGGCCGACTCAACAGCTAACCACCAGGACACCCGCGTGACGATGTCGAGTTTCTCCGTGAGCTCGAAAGTTCAATGCCACAGTGTTCCACGAGTGTTCTCTGTCATTCTAATTTACAGTTCCTTGCGCAATCTACGAGTAGGCTTTCCGGCTCTTGTGGTTACCGGTGCCTCGCGTGTCGCACCATCGCCGCCAGCTTATCCTGGCCACACGCAATCCTAGGTAGTTCAGGAAATAAGACTCGCTCCCGTCCGAACGGCTTCTCACCGCGCTCGAACGAGGTTGCGGGTTTCGCTCCACTGAGTCGTATAGGGTCAACTTTGAGTTTCCTGGATTTTAAGTTTTGGCGGAGAAAGGGCCGCCTTCATCCATAGCCGTACGCGACTCAGCCGGCATCGCTAGCAGAGCCGGCTGAAAGACCAGCATGCGCAAGGGCGTTTCTGCCACTTGTGAACATGGGGTAGAGCCTCTCTTAGGGATATGACCTGATGCGCAAGTCGCAATTCCTCAGCTCGCAGGTTGAGTAATCGATGCCTTTCGCACGCAGGCAGACTACGACACCCGTCACACAATTATCTTAACGAAGCTCAGCTGAGATACTTGCCTGCCATGGCCGACGAGTTTACTCGCATTGTCGAGGAGATGATGTCAACTCCCCCGAACCCAAATGCGCCCTTACCGCTGGCGAACAAGAAAGGCACGATGTTTGGTGTCTCGATACCATTCCACGTAGGTCCTTCTCGACAATACAAACGTCCTCCAAACTCACCGTCATAGGTTTTGTGCTGGATTGTCGTAGGCTTCCGTCTTCATACTCGCCTGCGAGTTGTTCGTGAACCTGGTCTCGATGACCTCTTCGTAGTCCTAGCGGCTGTGTTCAACTTGATATCTATCATAGCCTTCCTCCACGGTAGGCTTGCACGACTCTAAACTCGTGGTCGTTTTACTGATTTCTCGCGCAGGCACCAATTATGGCATGGGTCACCATCTTATCTACACCCTACGAGAGTTGCAACCAACCATGATCTGGCTGTATATCACAAATGCTGCCTATCATACGACCACTGTCTTTATCAAGATATCCCTACTCCTACAGTACCTGAGGCTCTTTCAGCAGGGCGCTCGCCGCATCATTTGCATCGTACTTCTCGCGTTGGTGATAGTATGGGGCCTGACTTTCTCATTCATGGCTTGGGTACCCTGCTTTCCAGTAAGGAACTTCTGGGATCGACAACCTGGCTCTAAATGCTACGGCTTTGGGTATCGCACTATCAATGAGGCGAAATTCACGATCCTCGCGTTTGCTGCGACGAACATGGCGTTCGACATTGCAATATTCCTCGTCCCGATCACGGAATACTTTAGGAAAGATCTCAGACGGAAACAGGTGCTTGCCATGACTGGATTGTTCGCCCTCGGTTCGATGTAAGTCCAGACTGTGAACACACCAGTATCACCACTGACAGACGCAGTGTCGTACTCATGGCTATCCTCCGCCTTTGGAGCACCTTCAAGAACAGTCAAAGCATGACCCAAAGTTTCGATTTCACATGGTGGTACCCCGAAGTCCTCATCATCTCCTGCCTCGAAATCGACTTCGCTATAATGTGTGCGTCCATGCCTATATTCTGGCCCACCGTCATGGCTTCCTGGACCCAAATCTTTGTCACGAACGAGGTCCGCGTTACGCACCACGAACGTCTGCCCAACGATAGCCGCGATAACTTCGAGCTGGTCAGGAACACGTCGTTGAAGAGCACAGGGAGTGCGGAGGAATTGGCGAGGGTTACAAGCGAAGAGCAGGACACGGTGTATGGTGGATTTGACCCAGAGACGGGCAAGGATGGAAGATTTGCTGCTATGCGGGTAGAGGTACAGCCGCAGGCACAGAAAACGCGGAGACTCTGAACAGTATGTTTCCAGGAAATCCAGCACATGGCTTCGACTTTGACTCTCATGTCCATACGTGCAGTGGGAATTCGGTACTTCCTTTGTCCGACACATTCGACTTCTCAGCATTGAGGATGCCAGGTGTGGCTCGTAGCTGCATGGGCCCCTGCAAGAAAGATCTTCGAAGCACAGCTCGACAAGCTGCAAGCCAAGCCCACTCCACACGGCAATTGACCTCGGTTGCAATGGCTCGCCGCATCCTTCATCGACATCTTACTTCCGTTCCTTCAGTACGAAATCCTCAAATTAGCACGGTATGATGTTGCTTCATCACCTTGCGCTGCTCATCTCTTTTGCGACGGCGCACAACCAGCATCATGAGGAAACGGAAACACCTGCAGTCCGGACATATTTCTACGTTGGAGGTGGCTATAGTGAAGACGGCAAGGGTGGCCATATTTTTAAGGACCAAATGTATGTCGAAAAGCTATCGCCAGTGTCCACCAAACAGCATGACACGGATCCCATTGTCTTAATCCACGGACAAGGGCAAACGGGCACAAACTTTCTCGTGAAGCCAGACGGGGGCATGTCATGGAGCTCACGATTCCTTGAGGCTGGCCATACTGTCTACATCGTGGATCAAACCTTCCGCGGACGCTCCGCTTGGGCACCGAGAGCTGGTGCTGATGCGCCGTCAACCTATTCTGCTGAGCTTATCCAAGAACGCTTCACTGCTCCACAGCAATATCGTCTCTGGCCCCAATCTACCCTTCACACTCAATGGCCAGGAACAGGCATCATGGGCGATCCTGTTTTCGACGCTTTCTATTCCTCCAACGTCCAGTTTATCTCGAATGCCACCTATCAACAAAGCACCATGCAAGCAGCAGGAGCACAGCTTTTGGACTCGATCGGTACTCCCGCGTGGTTGCTTGGCCATAGCCAAGGAGGTCTTCTGCCGTTGCTCATCGCTGATGCACGGCCTCATCTCACGAAGGGCCTACTCTTGGTGGAGCCGACTGGTCCGCCCTTCCAGGAAGCAGTCTTTGGATCTGCGGCAGCGAGGAAATGGGTAGGTTCACCAATCCTTCAGTCTCATTTGAAATGGCTGCTGACTTCAAAATCTACAGGGCTTGACAGACATACCGATGAATTATTCGCCTCCGGTCACTGACCCCGCGATCGACTTAGTACAACAGGTTTATCAGCCTACTAACCTGACAAGTAACAATGTTACTGTTTCTTGTGTGTTGCAAGCAGCTGAGCCAGCCCCGAGACGACTTCCTAATCTTGCGCCGCTGCCCATTCTCACCGTTACGTCAGAAACTAGCTACCACGCGCCGTACGACTACTGCACTGTCAACTTTCTCAAGCAAGCTGGCTGTTCCAAGGCTGAACATCTTGAGCTTGGGAAATTCGGTATTCATGGCAATGGGCATATGATGTTTATGGAGAAGAACAGTGATGAGATATGGGAACGTATCCATGATTGGATGGTGGCTGCTAAGTAAATTCCTATCAAGATACTCAATTCTCAGTGCCAGCGTGTTGAGTTACAAATCCACAGTCTTTAAGCTACTCTTTCAGCTAGCTATCTACATAACTCGCCTACTTGTCCCTGGTCTCACATGTCTCATCCATTTCAACATCCATGTCTGTTTTGCTGCGCTTGTTTCGGATATCCTTCCAGCCTATACCCAAGCTGGCAAGGGTAGTCAGACATGCTATGCCTACCAAGAAGTAGAAGACATCGCGCAGACCCTCCGAGTACGCTCTTAGCACGCCATCTAGTTCTCCAAGCGGGACGAGGGCTCGCACAGCACTGGCACTAGATCCAGCATCAACCGCCGCCTGGGGCGATATTGTAGGCGCGTAGCGTGTGATGGCGGAGCGAAGTGTCTGTGCGAAGATCGTGTTCGCGATGACGACAGCGATAGATGTACTGAGGTTCTGGAAAAAGACGACACTGGCCAAGGCGACTGGGTATTGAGCCGGGGATACGGCGTTCTGGACTGCAATGATGGCCTGAAAGCGTCAATGATGCGACCTTAACCTGTGCAGGACTTGGACTTACTATCTGCATACCACATCCTCGGCCAGCGCCCAACAAAATCTGGTACCCGATCCAGACCGAGGCGCTCGTAGATGCTGTGAACGTTGACACAAGACCGTTGCCGATTGCGGTGATGATACCACCGACGAGCGCCCAGGGAAGATAGTAGCCCATGCGGGATACTATGAACAATAAGCTACCGAAAGCATGAGCTTGATAGTGTGGAGACATACCGGCAGCACCTGTTGCGATAACAACGAGAAGTTGGCTCAATATACTCGGCAGTACGTGTACACCACTGTCGGTCGGCCCATCGCCCTTCACGGCCTGGAAGTACGTCGGCATCCAAACACTCGCTGTCATCATACAAGTGATAATGCAGCTGGCGTACACGCAACTTGTCAAGACGATGCGCTGTCCAAGCAGCTTACCTGGAAGCATAGCTTGGTCGCCCATTCTTCTCTCCCAAAGTATGAAGAGGGCGGTGCATGCTGCTGCACCACAGAATAGTCCGATGATGACAGATGAGCTCCAGGCGTACTTGCCACCACTGCCTAGCTGGAGGGCGAGGAGCAGCATAACAGACGGAGGGACGAAGAGAGCAAAGCCTAGCAGATCGAGGTCGGGTATGATTTTGTGGACGAGGGACAGAGTAACTCGCGGCTTCGTCGTGCGCTCGGGAATCGGAACGAAAGCGATGAGGGCGGCAGCCACTCCGCCGATGGGTAGGTTCATGTAAAAACCTGGGTTTGGGTTACCGTCAGCTTTAGAAGACAGGAACAAGAGGTAATGAAGTGAACAACGTACACCAACGCCAGACCGCATGCTCAGTGAGAGCGCCTCCAATGAGCGGTCCCGCCACAATGCCCATTTGCGCAGCTATCATCTGGTCAGCATCCAGTCATGCGCACTCCATGATACAGCATGCATACTCCCGAGTACTATACCCGTATACACTGTCGCATCCTATTAGCGTTCATCATTTGGAATCCATGGACCCAAGAACGTACCTGGACTTTTTTCTTTCGGCACAGCCCCTGCGAGGATCGTCATAGCGCCATTCACGATACCAGACGCTCCTAAACCTGCAACCACTCTTCCAACGATAAGGAAGGCTGAAGAGCTAGCGACACCGCAGAGTAGGGAACCGAGTTCGAACAAGGATACGAATGTGAGAAACACAATCTTGGTGTTGAAGTGTGTGTAGAGCTTGCCGGAAAGTGGTTGCAATGTTGCTCTGGTAGCGACATCAATAAGTAGTTCGACGTGGCTCACTCAGACTTGGAAGGGGAACAAAAGGTTGTTTGAAGAAGACAACGTACGAAGCGAGCGTAAAAGCACCAATGTACCCTAATTACAGGTATACAAAGTCAGTGTAGGTCTCACATCGCGGTTTCGCAGTTACACTTACAGCCTACATCTGGAAGCGAGTGGAACTCGGATGTAATGCGTGGTATTGCCTAGTACCGTTAGAATCGGAACATCATACCAGCGGTACAGGCGATACATACAGTACCCATGATGGAGGTGTCGAGGCATACGAGAAACGTCACTAGCGTCAGGCTACCGAGAAGGGTGGAGAGTTTTGGACCCTTGAGATATCGATTTGACAGCGGCGTGTCGCGATAGCTGTCCATTTTGGCTGGCTGCGATGTAGGTATGTTCAGGTTCAAGTAGAATTTGTCTAGGTTATTGTAGGTTTCGAGTGAAATGCAGTAAATTGTTCGTGTGCAAAAGGCCAACGAGCGATAAGGATATGCATTGATCAGGTAAGAGCAGGTTTGGATGGCATATATAGTAAGAAGTCGCATGTTGACCTGTGGCTTTTGTCCATGGATCGGGTTTCGGGCGGGTTTGACCTGCACAGGCAGCCGCAGCCGGAAGTTAGGTCAGATCCTTGCAAATCCGCCCATGAACTCTGCCCCAAGCTTCTCGTAATGCCCTATCAATCATTTAGAGCCTATCTCAAGTGTAGCTTTATGTCCTCCACCATCTGCGCAAACGTCTGTAAATTGATCCATTCAGACACACGCACCTGGCTCAAAGATTGAATGCACTAGGCAGCCAGAAGTCACTCGAAAAGTCCAGTGCCCCAAAATCACCAAACCCGCCACTCCATCCATCCGCTGTGTTAACCATGTCGTCATTGTGCTCCGTCGTTGGGAGTTTCCAGTTTGGTGCCATAGCCCTTAGCGTTTCCGCAGCTGCAGCAAAAAGAGTATCCTCACCCGTCTTGGCCTTGAATTCCATATTAGCCTGTTCAGCAATCTCGGCAAACCTCTCTAGACATTGCACGATGTCGAAGCTTGATTGGACGATGGGTGGTATCCAGTCTGGGATTCCTTTGAGGCTGGCGAATCTGTACAAGGTCTTGATACAATACGAGAATACGAGCATCGATGGAGCCGTCAGACCTATGACGCCGCCATTCCAAGCATGTTCTCGACAGGCTTTACTGGTCTCTAGAAGCTCCATAAAGTACTCGATGCGCCTGGGCTCGAACGCTAGATGCGACACTGACAGCTCATCCGTAGGCTTTGTTAAGAGCGCAAGATCGTAAATGGCAACCTGGGCGGTTTGAGTGAGACCGATTATTAACCCTGGAGTAATTTGAGCGCTGGAAGAGGTGAGGGATGATGATCTTACAGTGTTGTAGAATCTCAATAGGAAGTGAGCTTTTGGAGTTGTTGAGCGCCAATATTAGAGGGTCAATAGCCATCATAGCATGCCTTGCTGCATTGTGATCATCCGAAGCTCTTCGTGATACTTCGGCGGCGCTGACAACAATCTTTGCCAGACGCGCAGCAGCGACCAGTATGATGTCTCCTTCACATTCTTTGTTCTTACTGAGGTGATCGCATGCATCTTCGATCTGCGACGACCAGAGCATCAGGTCATATTCGAAGATAACAGCAACACTTCTAGCGTCAGTTGAGCTACGATGAATTTACTTGCAAACTTACTTGGCGCATAATATGAAAACAGATAGAAATGCTCTACTCCCCTCGGTCTTCCGAACTTCCTTGTTATCAACACGAGGACCTAGGCTTGGACATCCCGCGGGTTGCATGGGCTTGTCGAGTCGAAGATCGCTAATCAGCGTTTTTGCAAGACCGCACATGGAGCCCAAGAACTGTTTTCCATAGGTAAAGTACGGTGACCTAAAAGCATTAAAGTTAGAAACACCATACATGATCTGCGTCCTTACCAAGCTATGCACATAATAACAGTCAAGAGCAAGTCAATGCTCCGTTCTCCCTGCACAATAATCCTGGAAGCCAATTGTTCTCGTAAGTGCTTGCTCAACTGGCTTTGCTTCGTTATTGCTTTGGTGAGTATTGTGCGGATAGCATAGCAAAATAGCGGGTATTTAAGATAAAGCTCGTCTGTAGTAGTATTCTCCGACATAGGCATAAAGGGGAAATAGTACAGATAACTCGTTCGGAAGTCGTGCACCTAATCGCTAGACAAGTACTTGTCGTTGTTAAAGCCATCAGTCCCCTAGTAGGGAATTAAGGAGGAGTCGGGTGTTAGCACGAGCTGATCATTGGGCGATATAGTGAGGGGCGCTGTGCGCTGTGTTCGAAGCAAAGAGGCGACTTCATCGAGTTTTTCCTCCAATTTTGACCTCTTTGGCGCTTGGTTTGATCTGGGTGCCCTCCTGCGCACAGCTGATGAAGCTCTGCACTCTTTACCTAGGCGGTGACATCTTTGCATTCAAGTTAGCCCGAGTGCACGGAAGGTAGCGGTTTGGGTCTACATCAACCTGAAAGCATGCAAACTAGGTGGCCTAACGTCGATGTAGGCTCCAGGGTGTTCGGCTTTTTCTTAGGTTGACGTGCATCCCCGAGTGTGATTGCTTCATAGTGAGCGTATTGATCAAAGGGATGGCGCACCTGTCGCAAACACCGCCGTCGCGTAACATACATCGGCATTTCGCTTTAACGCAGTTGCCACATGCCTGACCATATGGCGCAGGGGTCTTGCCTACTGCGTCCGTTTCCATGATAGGATTTCGTCTGTATTCCAGGTACTCAATCTGTATGCGAAGAAGACGAGCATGATGGGGTTGGCTGTGCACGCGTAACGCGCGAAAGGACGGGATTCGGAGCGGAATGACCGAAATTAGGCAACCAAGTGGACCCGATTTCCTGTTTCGTCACCCAAACAAGGGGGACCGTTCGCCGTTACTACACGTCACAACGACGGTGAGTAGGCATCTCTGACTCCAAATGCGAACTGGCTGGTTTCGCGAAATAAAGAAATAATCATTTGCATAGGGTATGTGTCCAGAATCCAACGCCCATAACGCCGCAACTCATCCCGTCCCTTACGTCTTCACCTTCGCCTTGCCCTTCCTTAGCCTGTCGAACTCTTGGATGAGTTCCACAGCTCTCAGGTCAGCCTCGGATTTCCGGCCCATCCACTCAGTCTCTCCCCGTTTTGCCGCCTTGATGCGCTTTCTCGTGCCGCCTTTCGCCAAGTACTTCATACTCTTCACGATGCCATCTCCAGGGTATGCTATTATCCCCAAGGTTGCTGCGCCAGTCTTTGTAATCAGTCCGGACATTCCCTTACCGAAGCCCTTTGCATACCCGATCGCACCCTCTTTCTTCCCACCCTCATACGTCTGACGGAAGGGATCCGAGAGGCCGTCGGCAAAGCCATGGATGAAGGTCTTGCCGCCAACTTGGAAGCCAGAAAGAGCGCCAGTGACCTCCCCATGGTCTTTGACTTCTTCACCATACAACCTTGGTACGTTGCGAAAACCTTCTGTGGCAGCGAGGGGGAGGTCGACGATGGTACCCTTATAGAATGCACCCACAAATCTGCCAAAGCCTTTTGCAGAGCGACCTGCGGCAGCCGCGCCGCTTGAACCCGGCTTTCCTGACGAAGCTGAGGCTCCCGAGAACGTAGCAGGGTGTTTAGGCTCAACGAAGGGATCCACAACCATGCCTTTCATTGCCATTCCCATGTCTCCGACAATTCCAACACACGCCGAAGTCGTACTTGTGATGGGGTCCCAGCGTTGATTGGTGATGACGAAAGGATCGGTTTCGTGGTTTTCGAGATCGGTGGGGTCGATGGAACCATTCTCGATGAGTATCTGTGCCGCTAATTTGGAAAGAAGGATGGGTTCTTTCTTGACCTTCCATGATGCCACCTGTGTAGGTAGCAGTGCGCAACGCATAGTCTCGAGAGGCAAGTTGGTGTGGAAAGATTGTACTGCTGCCTCAACGCCTCGCTCATTTGCCATCTGCGAAGATAATCCTCGTGCGGCCTGCTTTGCCTCGCGCGTGAGACAGAAGTGGATAGCCGCTGTAAGGTTTTCGGCCGTCAGAAGTTTGTGGGGGATAGGTTGTGGACCGGCTCCCGCTGCTGCTATCATCTCTCCCCAGAACGGCTGGTCTCCAAAGAACGGAACGACAACAGTAGGACATGCATTACGTAGTCCGCATGCAGCCGTACCTGCACCGCCATGATGTACGACCGCTGCAACATGCTGAAACAACCACTCGTGGGGACAGTCGCCAATGAACAGAACGTCGTTGTTGTCGTTTGGTAAATCGCCTCCAAGGTTACTCCATCCTCTAGAGATGATCGCCCGGATACCTAGGGCGCGCACGGTTTCCAGGATGCTTGATGTTACCTTTGCAGGATCGTCGAGGACGATGCTCCCGAAGCCGATGTAGACCGGTGGAAGCCCATTTCTCAGGAACTGATCAATTTCCGGA